AATATGAGCATCCAGGTTCCGCTATTGGTTATTACCAGAGATGTGTCTCGGTCATGTCTACATAGTTCTCGAACCCGTAGGGTCCGCACGCTTAACATTCGATGATGATTTGTATTATGAGTTATGTGATTTGATGAACCGAAGGTTGTTTAGAGTTCCGGATGAGATCACAGACATGACGAGGAGTCTCGAAATGGTCGAGAGGTAAAGATCAATATATTGGAAAAGTTATATTCGGACACCGGAATGGTTCCGAAGTGTTTCAGGTATTTTCTGGAGTACTCGGAGGTTATCGAAACCCCCCGGGGAAGTAATGGGCCTTAATGGGCTTTATTGGAAATGAGAGGAGGGCCTTAAGGGGTGGCCGCGCGCCCCCCATGGGCTGGTCCGAATTGGACTAGGAGGGGGCGGCGCCCCCCTCTTTCCTTCTCCCCCCTTCTCCCTTCCCTTCCTTCTCCTAGTTGGAATAGGAAAGGGGGGTGCGAATCCTACTTGGACCGGGAGTCCAAGTAGGAATACACCCCTTGGCGCGCCCCCTCTAGGGTCGGCCTTCTCTCCTCCCCTCCTTTATATATGTGGGAGGGGGGCACCCCAAAGGCACACCAAGTCTTCTCATAGCCGTGTGCGGTGCCCCCCTCCACAGTTACACACCTCGGTCATATCGTCGTAGTGCTTAGGCGAAGCCCTGCACCAGTAACTTCATCATCACCGTCGCCACACCGTCATGCTGACGAAAATCTCCCTCGTCCTCCACTGGATCAAGAGATCAAGAGACGTCATTGAGCTGAACGTGTGCTGAACGTGGAGGTGCCGTACATTCAGTACTTGGATCGGTTGGATCGCGAAGACGTTCGACTACATCAACCGCGTTACTAAACGCTTCCGCTTTCGGTCTATGAGGGTATGTGGACACACTCTCCCCACTCGTTGCTATGCATCTCCTAGATGGATCTTGCATGATCGTAGGTAATTTTTTTGAAATACTGTGTTCCCCAACAGTGGCATCCGAGCCAGGTCTATGCGTAGATGTTATATGCACGAGTAGAACACAAAAAGTTGTAGGCGATAATAGTCATACTGCTTACTAGCAACTCTTACTTTGATTCGGCGGTGTTGTTGGATGAAGCGGTCTGGACCGACATTACATGACCATGTTCATGAGACTGGTTCTACCGACGTGCTTTGCACACAAGTGGCTGGCGGGTGTCTCTTTCTCCAACTTTAGTTGAACCGAGTTTGACTACGACTGGTCCTTGTTGAAGGTTAAAACAGCACACTTGACAAAAATCATTGTGGTTTTGATGCGTAGGTAAGAACGGTTCTTGCTAGAAGCCCATAGCAGCCACGTAAAATTTACAACAGCAAAGTAGAGGATGTCTAACTTGTTTTTGTAGGGCATGTTGTGATGTGACATGGTCAAGACATGATGTGATATAATTTGTTGTATGAGATGATCATGTTTTTGTTAAAGTTATCGGCAACTGGCAGGAGCCTTATGGTTGTCTCTTTTATTGCATAAGATGCAAGCGCCATATAATTTCTTTACTTTATCGCTATGCGATAGAAATAGTTGCAAAAGCAATAGTTGGCAAGACGACCATGTGATGACACATTGATAGAGATCAAGACGATGGAGATCATGGTGTCATGCCGGTGATGATGGAGATCATGACGGTACTTTGGAGATGTAGATCAAAGGCACAAGATGATGATGGCCATATCATGTCACATATTTTTGATTGCATGTGATGTTTATCTTTTATGCATCTTATTTTGCTTAGTACGATGGTAGAATTATGAGATGATCCCTTACTAAAATTTCAAGGTATAAGTGTTCTCCCCGAGTATGCACCATTGCCACAGTTCGTCGCGCCAAGACACCACGTGATGATCGGGTGTGATAAGCTCTACATTCACATACAACGGGTGCAAGCCAGTTTTGCACATGCAGAATACTCAGGTTAAACTTGACGAGCTTAGCATATGCAGATATGGCCTCGGAACACTGAGACCGAAAGGTCGAACGTGAATCATATAGTAGATATGATCAACATAGTGATGTTCATCATTGAAAAGTACTCCATCTCACGTGATGAACAGACATGGTTTAGTTGATATGGATCACGTGATCATTTAGATGACTAGACGGATACCTATCTAAGCGGGAGTTTTTAAGTAATATGATTAATTGAACTTAAATTTATCATGAACGTAGTCCTGATAGTATTTGCATATCTATGTTGTAGATCAATAGCTCGCGTGTAGCTTCCCCATTTTATTTATGATATGTTCCTAGAGAAAACTAAGTTGAAAGATGACAATAGCAATGATGTGGACTAGGTCCATGATCTGAGAATTATCCTCATTGATGTACAGAAGAATTATGTTCTTGATGCACCGCTAGGTGACAGAACTATTGCAAGAGTAGATGCAGACGTTATGAATGTTTGACAGGCTCGGTATGATGACTACTTGATAGTTTAGTGCACCATGCTTTACGGCTTAGAACCTGGACTTCAAAAATGTTTTGAACGACATGGAGCATATGCGATGTTCCAAGAGTTGAAATTGGTATTTCAGACTCATGCCCGTGTTAAGAGGTATGAGACCTCTGACAAAGTACTTTGCCTACAAGATGAAGGAGAATAGCTCAGTCAGTGAGCATGTGTTCAGAATGTCTGAGTACTCAATCGCTTGAATCAAGTTACTAAGATAAGATAGTGATTGATAGAGTTCTGTAGTCACTATCACCAAGTTACTGGAACTTCGTGATGTGCAAGGGATGACGAAAATGATTCCCAAGCTCTTCGCAATGCTAAAATCGACGAAGGTAGAAATCAAGAAAGAGTATCAAGTGTTGATGGTTAACAAGACCACTAGTTTCAAGTAAAAAAGGCAAAGGAAAGAAGTAGAACTTAAAAAATAACGGCAAGCAAGTTGCTGCTCAAGTGAAGAAGCCCAAGTCTGGACCTAAGCCTGAGACTGAGTGCTTTTACTGTAAAGGGACTGGTCACTGGAAGCGGAATTGCCCCAAGTATTTGGCGGATAAGAAGGATGACAAAGTGAACAAAAGTATATATGATATACATGTTATTGATGTGTACTTTACTAGTGTTCATAGTAGCCCCTGGGTATTTGATACTTGTTCAGTTGCTATGATTAGTAACTTGAAACATGAGTTAAAAAATGACAGAGACTAGTTAAGGGCGAGGTGACGATGTGTGTTGAAAATGATTCCAAAGTTGATAAGATCACCATCGCACACTCACTTTACCTTCGGGATTAATGTTAAAGTTAAAATAAATGTTATTTGGTGTTTGCGTTGAGCATAATATGATTGAATCATGTTTATTTCAATACACTTATTCATTTAAGTTAAAAAATAATTGTTATTTTATTTACATGAATAAAACCTTCTGTGGTCATACACTCAAGGTGAATGATTTATTGAATCTCAATCATAGTGATACACATATTTATAATATTAATATCAAAAGATGCAAAGTTGATAATAATAATGCAACATACTAGTGGCACTGCCGTTTAAATCATATTGATGTAAAACGCATGAAAAAACTTCATGTGGATGGACTTTTAAAATCACTTGATTATGAATGTTAATATCTTTTCCTACAAAGCTATCAAACTTTACAAAATTTGACTTTGATCAAATCTTTATATACAAACTAAAAAAACAAAGAAAGTACATAATTTCATTAAATTAGTATACCCCACCATATTTTTTACGGAAACACTAACGTCCACACGTGTGACATCATTGCAAATCGCCCACATGTTTGAATCATCGTACAGTTAAGTTTGCACGAATCTTGACGCACCGAGACAGTTTTCGCGTGCCACGTAGGACAATGTCGGTGTGTGGGCATTGCAGAGGTCGCCCACACGCCCTACAACACGCGGTTGCCAGCTGCGCTGTGTGGATGAACTAGTTTCTGCCCACACAGCCACCACCTAGTCCATGCGCGTGTGGGTGAACTGCTTTTCGCCCACACAACAGTCATATGTTGTTGGATGTCAACTGCAGTTGCGCGTACATGACAACTAGATAAACACACATGCAATTATGATTCGTTTGCTAGACGGCAATTGCAGTTGCGCGTACGTGGCAGTCAGGTAAACATACACGACAACTGTGATTAACCACACCCTTTTCTAAAAAAACCCTGTGATTAACCACACGTGGCAACTAGGTAAACACACACGATAATTATTGTTTGACCATATATGGCAAATAGTTAATCACACACGACAACTATGACTTGATTACACGCGACAACTATCATAAATTAGACACGACAATTATAGTTAACCAAAATATAGAGAGTTGCCGTGCTTTTACAACCATAATTGCCATCCCGGATAACTACATCTGCCATCCTGAATGGCAACTAAATCGTAATCCCGCGGGTACCTATTGTAGCTGTGCGAGGACGTGTGGGCATATTTGGCTTCGTGCCACACGCACGAGGTGGAGATGAGTAGTATTTTTTGGGCGTGTGACACAAAGTAGCTGCGCCCACATGTGTGGACAATTCTATTATTCGTCCACACACAACTCGTGTGAGCTGCCCCCTACTCATGTCACACACGATGTGTGAACGAATATCTATTATGCCACACGTGTGATGAATATCGACGTCCATTTTCTATCTATGTCATCACCGGCATAACTAGTGTCCAATGCCGCTTGTCTTTCGTCCCACTATGCAGACCGGGCGCGCAAAATTCCGAAACTTGGAACCCGGCGTGCCAGGTCACCGATCCGCACCCCAGTCCACACCACCGATCCGCGGCATCGTCGGGAAAAGCAGTCTCAGCCACCCATCTCGTCTCCATCGAACGGCTCCAGCCGCCTCGACAGCCCCCGCTCACCCTTTATACACACAACCCCTTCCCCCGTCTCATCTCACTCATCGCTCCCAGCCACCAAACCCCGCTCCAAAATCCCCAAATCCCCTCTCTTCCCAAGCTACTCAGCCATGTCGGGGCGCGGCAAGGGCGGCAAGGGGCTCGGCAAGGGCGGCGCGAAGCGCCACCGCAAGGTCCTGCGCGACAACATCCAGGGCATCACCAAGCCGGCGATCCGGAGGCTGGCCCGGAGGGGCGGCGTGAAGCGCATCTCGGGGCTCATCTACGAGGAGACCCGCGGCGTGCTCAAGATCTTCCTCGAGAACGTCATCCGCGACGCCGTCACCTACACCGAGCACGCCCGCCGCAAGACCGTCACCGCCATGGACGTCGTCTACGCGCTCAAGCGCCAGGGCCGCACCCTCTACGGCTTCGGCGGCTGAAGAGCCGCGGCGCTGGCTGGCCGGCCGTGGCGCACAAAACCTGGCTCGCGGTCAGAAGGTGGAGGAGTGGAGAAAACTGTACTTGATTTGGGTTCCATGCCTTCTATGATTAGTAGTAATATATCTGTAGTGGCAGTAGCTGGTTGTTCGATGGTTGCTTCAGTGTTCTGAATTTCTGATGGACAAACACTGTGTTTGCCGAGTTATATGAATCCAGAGTTAACAAAATTGTCCTAGAACTATGAATTATTGCTATGACGATACTGTTCGGTTTTAGTTTTAGTGTTTTACAACTCATTGTGCTCCTGCATTTAGCCCTGTGATACGATTGTTTTCCGGCCGCTCTGCATTTTCTGTTCTTCAACTGCGTTTGGTGTTGATTCGATGGCGGTCTCCTACAGATCCAGCGGCTTATTGCTTGAATATTTTCTGCAAATCTTGCCGTGTCAAAATGTTACGAATCAACGGAGTACTAGTTTTGAACGCACCATTAGCCAATTGGTCCTCTTCGCTCGTAACCTGTTTATATTCTGTTTGCGTCTCCGTGCAGATCTTAATTTTTCAGTGTCATATGTAGTCATAAATTTGCACATGGTGTTTGTTTTGATATGCTTTTCTATGGTAAATCTTGCTTGGCCCAGTCCCTCCCAAAGTCAGATTCGAAATTTTTTGTACCCTTTTCGAACTGCCTACTTGTGCTCGGCCCGTCAATTGATGCCTCTCCCTTGAGTTGGCAGGCCCGTCATTTAGCCCCACTACACCATTGTCTGCTCAGAACTATTCTACGCAATGCTTGTATGATAGTTAATTACTTACAACGAGCTAAGCACATTTTAAATGTTTAGATTTTTGTGGTGAAATAAGTCCATATGTGCTCGTAACACCCCCCCCCCCCAACCGCCTGATGTATTTCAAGCTTTATGGCGCTATTATTTCATTGCTATGTTGTGTCCGTTGACTATGAGATGCTTGTGGCGACTTCGGCAATCTCAAGACAAGACGTGACTACTCAACCTCTTGTGGGGCTTATCGTGATATGGTGTTCGTTTGTACTCCCTTCGTAAACAAATATAAGAGCGTTTAGATCATTAAAGTAGTGATCTAAACGCTTTAGTGATCTAAATACTCTTATTAGAGGGAGTATACTCATAGAGATGAGTATACAAAATGTTGTGGGTGTCTATGTATGTATTGTGTTTCTATAAAAAGAAAATTTCTTGCAAGCTTAACAAGTACAATACACCCAGACTAGGCCATCTGAATTTTGTTTTACGGGCGGGATGAGTCCGTGTCCAGGCCCATTAGCTCCCCCAAGTTTTATTCACTTCACTGATCCCTACCACCAACCCACATGTTTCTTTGCCGTTCCTCGTCGTCGTCAACTCCCCCCCTCCTGATTCATTGCCGAACCCTCTCCTCTCCACCTATAGCTTCGCCGATGTGATAATCTCGAGCTCTTCCTAAAGCTGTTTTACAAAACAGAAAATCATTTCAGGGCTTTGATAAAATTTGTTCATGTATTACCTTCCTTCAAGCCAACCATATGGCCCAACGCATGGTTGGGCGTGAAATTTCAACGAGTTGCTCTTTCCGTAGGTGGAACAACCATTCTATAGCATTGCATGAGGGTATCATCTCTTTTTTGAGACCACAAGTGTTGTATTATTTTTTAGGACCCCCAATACTCCAATAGCTGGCGAACGTTC